TCCCTAGCTATTTTATTTTTGTGGTTTTATGCCATGATCTTGATAAGTTACCCAGGCTGAATTTGAAGTTGTGATGCTCCCTATATCAGCTTCCTTAAACCCTGAGATTACAGTATGTGCCACAATACCTGACTTCAAACAGTGGTGGGTCTTTTGGGGGACTTTTCAGGGAGGTGAATAGGAGGGTTGAGACAGTGCCTTGCTAAATAATTTGGGCTCGCCTTAAACTAACTGTTTGTCTCAGGCTGCCCTCAAAACTTGTGGAAGTCCACCTGCCTCAGCCTCCCCAGTGCTAGATTACAAGTGTGTGCTGCCACATCCAGCTTCAAACTGTTTTTTAAGTCTTAATAGTCTCATAAGTTTTTCTTGAATATTGGACATGAAGTTGTTTCAAAAAGGAACTGAGGCATGCATCTCAGGTCTTTCATATGAGGTTTTAGGATTATTTTGCTGAGTGTAGTGTAAATAGTTTTTTATTGCACCCGTAGGTATCAGAGGGAAATTGCTTTTACCTCTCTTGTCACTTCTGGGCTCCCATAAAGACATTTAATGTCTGAAAGATGTAGAAATAAGTAGCATAATATTCTGATACTGTATTTCACTGTTCATAAGAGGAAATCCTAATGACATAGTGGTAACTTATGGAAACCTGCCAGGTGGGGTGGCAATTCCATCTACTCATGAAGTTTAGGGAGGAAGATCACTACTTCAGGGTCAGACAGTGCAATGTCGTAAGACCTTTTGTTAAACTAAAACACTGGTGTGTGTTGCTCAGTGATCGAATCCTTGTGTAGCATGTAGGAAGGACCTTGTGGATTCCATCTCTAGTACCACAAATAAATAAATATTAACCCACATTCAGGAAATTAAACCTTAGTGCTGCCATATGCCAAACATTATCTATCACTGAGCTGCAGAAGTAGGTGTCTCAAATGAGTATTTTTATTCACTTGACTCTATTTCAGACTTTTTTCTTTGTGGTTCTAGAAATTTAACCCAGGGCCACACACACGGTTGGTAAGCAGACTGTCACTGAACTCCTCAATCATAGACAAAATTTTCTTGGTTTTTGCATTTGTTGATTTGTTTCTTTGGTTGGTTGGTTGTTGGTTTGGGTTTTTTGAGACAGGATCTCACTAGTAGTTCAGGCTGGTCTTTTTTTTTTTTTTTTTGTCTTTTTGAGACAACATTTCACTGTGCAGTTCAGGGGGACCTTAAACTCACTTTGTAGCCCAGGCTGGCCTTGAACTTGCAATGATCCTTCTCAGCCTCCCAAGTGCTGGGATTACACATGTGCGCCACCACGCCCAGCTCAAGGTGGTCTTGAACTCACTATGTAGCCCAGGCTGGAACTTGGTGTAATTCTCTGCTTCAGCCTCCAGAGCATTAGAATTACAGGCATGCATGCACCACTGCACCCAGCAGGGTTTTCTTGTATTGTCCTTCTAGGCCCCAAGCATGCAGTCCTGCTGCCCTATCCATGGAAGTAGCTGGGAATTTTGGTATGCCCCATGATACTCATCTCTGAATGCTTCCAATGCTATGGAATACTTCTTAAAAACCCAGTTTTTATTATATTACATATTATATTTTCCCAAGCCTCCTAGCTGCTTATGTTTGTTGGTGGGTATAGTTTTCTGTAGGGTTTCTTAGTTTTTGTTTGTTAGTCATTTCATTTTGTTTTGTTTTGTTTTGTTTTGTTGTGGTGCTGGAGATCAAGCCCAGGGCCTTGTATATGCAAGGCAAGAGCTCCACCACTGAGCCACATCCCGAGTCCCTGTTGGTGAGAATAGTTTTAAAGGTACATTTATTCATTTTGGTTCTGTGTATCATGAAATATGAAATGATACAGTGTATAACAAAGCCTAAAGTGCCAGTCTGATATGGACATGGTTGCATTGATTTAGTGTCTTTTTGGGGGCTTTTTTTTTTTTTGGTTTGACTTTGGTTTTGGTTTTTTGTTTTTTGGGGGGTTTTTTAGGGGTGGGGGGTGGATTTTTGAGAAAGGGGCTTACTATGTACTCTAGGCTAGCCTTGAACTTGTAGCAATCTTCCTGCCTCAACCTCCCAAGTGCTAGGATTATAGGCATACACATCAGACCCAGCTTGAGTTAGTCTCTTTTTTAATATCATTTTTCATTTCAAGGTGAATTGGGATACCACAAGACAGTAAGATGCCATGTAAAAGTAAAGATACAGGTGTCATTTCTGTATGTTCTTTACTGCTAAATTTTACAACAAACTCAGAGTTGTACAGAAACATCTTTGGTATTAAGGTTGCATCTCCAATGCTGCCAGTCTCACCATCTTCTTGTGCCAATTTATGGGATGTCTTAGCACTCAGTGGCCTTTGAGGATGTGGCTGTGAAGTTCACCTTTGAAGAGTGGGCTCTGCTGGATCCTTCGCAGAAGAGACTCTACAGAGATGTGACGAGGGAAACCATCAGGAACCTGGCCGCTGTGGGTGAGGATGATGTCATTCCTAATGTAGTAAATTTGAGGACAAGTACTTCTTTTATGAAAAATGAAAAAACTATAATTTTGGAAACTAAATCAATGAGTCAGAGCTATTGTGTAGAATCATAATGTTTTGTAATTCCTAACTTACAATTTTTGTGGTAATGAATTTTAGGGAAAAAATGGAAAGACCAGAGCCCTGAAAATAAGGATACAATGCAAGAAAGAAACTCAAGGTGAGCTGCACTCATACAAGTACATAGTGACTATCAAGAAAATTTTCATAGGTGATCACTTTGAGACAGGGTCTCACTATGTAGTCTAAGTTGGGCTTGAACTTGCTGTGTAATTAAGCTACTGTGAAACGCTGATCTCCTGGCACTGTGTCAGAAGTGGTAGGATTATAGATGTAAAACAAAGTGCCCAGTTATCACAAGTTGTTTTAAATATAGATAGTTGGCCTTGCTAAGCTTCCCAGGCTGACCTTGAAGTGGAGACCCTCTTTCCTGTGGGTCTTGAGTAGCTGAGATTACCTCTTTTTTTTTTTTTTTTTGGTTTTTTTTTCTTGTACCGGGAATCAAGCTCACTACATTGTGCTTGCCAGGCAGGCGCTGTGCCACTGAGCTAAATCCCCAGCCCTAGCTGAGGTTACAACAATGGGCCACTATGCCTACTAATATTACTGTTTTAATATTAGCACTTTTCTAGAATATTACATATATTCACTTTCAAAGAGTTCCAACAGAGAAGAAAACCTATATTTTCCCTGAAAGTATTTAAAAACTAATTCTGGTACCTATTGAAATTATTTTTCTGAAAGCACTGAAAATGTACTACTCATTCTTACAGAAGCCATATGGTGGAGAAACTTTATGAGAGTAAAGATCTTCAGTGTGAAGAAAATGCCATCCCAATTCCAAGTCTCAGTCTCACGAAGGAAACCTGTGTCTGTGTAACACCATGTAAAGGCAGCTTGTATGGAAAAGTCCTCGTGCAGCCGACATTCCTTAGTGGGCAACCCAGATCTCCTGTTAGGCACAGACCACATGAGAGTAGGGAATATGGAGAGAAGCCTTATAAATGTAAGGTGTGTGGCAAAGCATTCGGTTATCAGCAGTGGCTCCAGAAACATGAACAGCATCATACTGAAGGAATGAACTTTGAATGTAAACAGTGTGGCAAGGCCTTCAGATTTCTCAGTTCCTTTCAGTCACATAAAAGAAGTCATCAAGAGAAACACTATGAATGTAAAGGATGTGGCAAAGCCTTCTTGACTTCTGAAAGCTTTCAGAGACACTTGAATCTACATTCTACACAAAAACCTTATCAATGTAAAGAATGTGAGAAATCCTTTCTTTATCACATAACATTTAAAATACACATGAACATGCACAGTGGAGGAAAACAGTACAAGTGTGAACACTGCGGAACAACTTTTTTGTACTACTCAGCACTTAAACAGCATGAAAGGAGTCATACTGGAGAACGACCTGATGAATATAATCAGTGTGGTAAATCCTTCAGTGTTTCTGCACATTTGGGACATAATGAAAAGAATCACAAGCCAGAAAAGCCTTACAAATGCACGGTATGTGGTAAAGACTTTAAACATTTCAGTAACTTTCAATTACATAAAACAATTCATACTGGAGAGAAAGTTTACAAATGCCAGGAATGTGAGTATTCCTCTGTTTATGTTCGGAAGCTTCAGTTACATATGAGAGTGCACACTGGAGATCGACCTTATAAGTGTAAGGATTGTGGGAAGGCTTTCAGGACTTCGCATGACTGTCGAGAGCATCAGAGTACACATACTGGAGAGAAACTCTATAAATGTAAACACTGTGATAAGCCCTTTGGTTTCTCCAGTGCCCTTCGTAGGCATTTAAGAACTCACACTGGAGAAAAACCCTATGAATGTAAACACTGTGGTAAGACCTTTGCTTCTTCTGGTAACTGCCAAAGGCATGAAAGAAATCACACTGGGCAGAAACCCTATGAATGTAAACAATGTGGTAAGACTTTCACTTCTCCCAGTTACCTCCGAATGCATATAAGAATTCACACTGGAGAGAAACCCTATGAATGTAAACAGTGTGGTAAGGCCTTTGCTTTTTGCAATGCCCTCCATGTGCATGAAAGAACTCACACTAGAAAAACGCTATGAATGTTAAAAACAATGTGGAACAGCGTTCACTTTTTCTATTGCTCTCCAAATACATGAAAGAATTCATACTCTACAGAAATCCTATGAATGTAAACAATGTGGTAAGACCTGTGCTTACTCCAGAGGCCTCTGAAAGCATGAAAGAACTCACACTGAAAGAGTCCTTATGGTAAAAGGCAGAATAGAAGATAAATAGGAAATGGGGAGGTCTTTTGCAACTGGATGAGGGAACAAGATGGAGGGAGAAGGAAGGGGAAGGAAAAGAGATAGGGGAAAAAAGAATCAAGGGGGAAAATGATGAAAATAGAACTTTCGCAAGTGGAAAGGGGTCCAAGAGTTGGAAGGAGCAGGCCGGGAGGGAAGCAGTAGGGGATGCAAAATAAAGGAACTAAGGTGTACTATGAGCATGTACTGACTCTGCATAATAAATGCAATCATTATGTACTATAAATATGAATCAATAAAATTTTTTAAGAAGAAACCTTATGAATGTAGACAATGTGGTGAAATCTTCATTTATTCCTATGGTCTAACACTGTAGGGCCATTAGTTCATCCAGTTCCATTTGAGTTGTATGCCTGATCACCAGAGAGAAGCCCTTTAGTTGTGAACAATGTGGTAAGACCTCATGTTATTGAAGTTCATGTTATTGAAGTTTCTTTGAGAAGAAAGTACAAAGGTGATAGAAGATCTGTGTGGTAAACAATGTAAAAAATTTAAGTATGTCTGTTATGCTGTGTTCCTTGAAAGGGTCCATACTGGAAAGAGGATCCTTTGGAGATTACATGAGGATTTATATTTAATACAGGAACTGTATTAATATAGTTAATCTTGGTATTTCTTCAGACATTTTTGCTTAATTTGATATCAGGAGCCTACTCTCAGAAAGAGAAATTTCCTTTTTTGCTACAGGAGATTGATCTCAGGGCTTTCATACTGAGTTACATCCCCAGCCCTTTATTTTTTATTGAGACTGGGTCTTACTAAGTTGCTAATTTGCCCAGACTGGGTCCAGGCTCCCTGAGCACTGGGATTGCAGGTGTGTACCACCACACCTGATTCATTTCTTTAATGTAAACAATGTGAGGAAGCCATTAATTAGCTCACCTCCTTAGATCACAATGTGGAATTGCATATTGGACAAAAGGGTAAGCGTGTGAAAAATACCCCAAAGTGGTCAGTTTTAACAAATACATTCTGATCATGTAATAATCACAAGTGGGCCTACATGCAATAGTTATGTAAAGTTAATACAGGTCATTTCACTTAAAATGTTATAGAAAATTACAAATATACACTAATATTTTAAAGGTTTTAAATATACTCTATCTGTGACTCAGTTGTTCCATGTGCATCTTGTAGTTAAACATATAAGGACATACAGCAAAAAAAAAAAAAATGTGAAAGGATTCTTGGCACATGCCTGTGATTCCAGCAGTTTGGGAGTCTGATATAGGACTGGAAGTTTGAATACTATTTAAGCAACTTAGTGATACCCTTTCTCAAAACTGAGAAGGCCTGAGAATGTAGCTCAGAGTGAAGACCTATGTTCAGGTATATCATGGTATACAGGTTTATATCATTAAACTGGTCTTAGGAGGACAGCTGACAACCTGGAAAAAAAATATCAGTAGCCAAGCTTATAAAGCTACAGTCCTGTTGTCCAAGAATAATGGCTCTGGAGGCCCATGGAATACAGAAATCCCCATGCTATGGACCAGTATTGGTCTGTGGTCTGTTAGGATCCTGTCTACACAGTAGGAGAACATTCACAGGTGAAGGAGGGAAGATCTGTCTGCATTTTTTACCTGCTCTCCATTGCTTGCATTACCATCAGACCACCTCCAGTCAGAACAGGAGCATTATTAGTTTCTCATAGGAATGTGAAACTTGTGGAATGAGCGTATGGTAGGTGTAAATTTCCTGTACCTTATGAGACTTAATGTCTGATCTGAGTTGGTGATCCTTGCACTGAGATGTGGCTACAAATAAAGGTTAATGTTAGCATAGATTTGCACAGAGATCTTAATAAGTCAATTGCTTGAAGACTCATATCAAAACCAAGTGACAGTCTACAGCTGATAGCAAGCTTTATATCAGAATTCTACACTTACTTTAGTCCACACCTGACACACCCATTTTATTTGCCACCTATTGCACCTCTTTTTCACACTGTGTACTGGCCTCTCTTATATTTGTTAAGCCTACAAGTTAATCCTATGTAAAAGACTAAAAATAAAATATCTCTCCAGGGCATCTTTGCCAAGGAAGAAAGACCCAGTAATTAGATATCAGAAGACTAATGCTGCCAACAGAAAGCTGAATTTGACTATGATGAGTATCTTCAATTCAATGCTAAAAAAAATAAGCAGTTATGCTGAGGTGGAGTGAAAGATAAAGTCTGATATGGGAGGATAAATGAAAAGATATGGACTAAAATTGAGTTCTTGGAGTGTGGGAGAGGAAAAACCATTCTACTCCTGGATAATGTTACCATAATCCCCGTGACTCAGTATACATGCCATCTTGGAAAAAGACTAGTGTGAGGAAAAGAGCAAATCAGTTCTGCAGTGACAGTCTGGCAGTGACTTAACTCACAGTCCACTATCCTTCTCACTGGGCATGATGAAGTGAGACAAATCTATTCCAGGGACTCAGATGCTAAAAACTAAATGATGTATAATTTAATTACCACTAGGGCAAAAAGGAGTCCAACCATCTGTTGCATTCAAGAAACTCACCTAAATTTAAAATGAATTCATAGACTAAAAATCAAAGAATAGAAAACAGTGTTTCGTGTACCAGGACCCCAAAAGCAATAGAAGTAGCTGTTTATTCTCAAAGTAAACTTCAACTTAACGCTGATTAGAAGAGGCAAAGAATGTATATTAAGGAAACAATTCAACAGGAAAACCTTAAAATTGTAAATATATATATGCATGCATCAAACAACAGGGCACTTCTTGAGACACTGCTGGACATACAGGATCAGATAAACAATGCAATCATAGTGGATGACCTCAATACCTCACTTTTACAGAGACAGATAAACTAAGGAAAATATTAACAAAGATATCAGTGCTGAATATTTATAGGAAAATAGATGCACCTTAAAAATACAATGTTAAGAAAAATACATCAGACACAAGCTGAAGTGCCATATCGCTGCTTGCATTTGAGAAATCCAAAGTACACTATAACTAAACAGCAAAACAAAGATAAAAGGAAACATGGAGATCTACTGCAAATGAAGGGGATGGTCAATGAAGGGAGGGAAAAGGGCAACGAGGATGAAGTAAATAGGAATTAGATGTGTCATGTACTTACACTAGTTATGCACAATGAGAGTAGTCATCTCAAACATGTACTAATAAATTAATTTTTAACAAAGAGCTTCCACTAGATTTACCATATCATGGAGAAATAAACTTTATAGTTTTTATATAAGAAATTTTTACCATCACTAGGTACACAAATTTTTACCATCACTAGGTACACAAATTTATGATTTTTAACTCAAATTTATCATTGTTTAACCACCACTACCACAATCAAGACAAAAATATTGTCATTACCCTAGCAATCCTGTTTTCTTTTGTAATCAGACTTCTCCCTTGTAGGCCTCCCTGCTATTGGTAATTACTATCTAGTTACTGTCCCAACTGTTTTTGTCTTTTGTAGATTGCTGTATAAATGGAATTATAGAAGAGGTAACCATTAATTGAAAAAAAAAAAAACATGAAGAGCAGAAGCAATTCTTGAAGCCACCATTTCATCAAATTTGTGTGCAGGGAAACATTCTAAACACATGAATTACCAGAACTAAACCCAGAAAACATAAAAAATTCTGAACAATCTAATAAGAAGCAGGGAAAATTCAGGCAATAATAAAAACTAAGAAAAGCCCAGGACCTGATTCACCACTAAATTGTACAAGACCTTCAGGACAGTTACAACACAAATAGTCCTCAATGAAATTGAGAGAAAAACATTGTTCATTCTAAAAGACTCTTTACTGTTGTTGAAGAGTTAATCTTACTTGCTACTAAGAATATTTGTCATTAAAATATTAGGAGAGGCTGCAGTTTAAACGCAGGTATTCCTCCTTTGGCTAGCACCATATCTACACAAATTGATGACAATATCTAGATTGCCTTGGGGGTCACTCACAATACTGTATCCCATTCCAGGAAAACTGGGTACTGAGCCACATGCATCACAACCTTCCATCTCAAGTAAATAGAGGTGTTTGGATCCTGGGATAAAGGCAAAGGCCAGTAAGCCACACCCAGAGGACACCACTGAAAAGCAGACATTAACTAAAGAAGTTCCCATAGTAAAAACGGCAGTACAATAAACTGACTAGCTTCAACACAAAACAAACACACACAAAATAGAAACATGAGAAGACAAGCCAACAAAATGCTTCCAGAACCTTGTAACTACCCCAAAGCTGATCCATGGGACATCAAATGGGAGGAAACCAAAAGTGTCACACTTGAATTATTCAGAGGTATCAGGGCAGACAGCAAAACAATAAGGCTTTTGGCATGTTCACGGAAGCTATAAATTCTAAGGTATTGGGCCAATTAAAATCATCAGTGAGTCTAAAGAAACCAATGAAAAGAAAATGCAAAACATGAGTCTATAAAAGGGCACCAAATAGAAATTCAGGAGATTAAAAATTTTGTTGAATGTGTGAGCAACAGAAGTAACTAATTGTGGGACTACTCATCCCTATCTCTCCAGGGTGAACCGGTCCTGAGAACTAGATGCCCATGGATGAATAAGAAAGGTAGAGAGAGACAAGCAAAACAAGAGAGCCAAAACTCTGAGATCAGGGGGCTTACAGCCTCTCAGACTGTCTGCCCCTATACCAAAATTCAGACACCTTTTATTGAGGGAGAACCAAGAACGTAGCTAGGACAAATGGGCGCATACCATACATTCCAGCAAGGATAATTAAAAGATCACCCAAGACACACCTATAATCCCAGCACCCAAAAGGCTGAGACAGGAGGACTGTAAACTCAAGGTTAAACAAATCATTGTGTCCTCAAAGCATTCTAGTCAAAGAATGTCCTTCTTTACAACTAATGTGAGTACAGAGCCTAGGAACTAGAAGATAGGGCTGCTATCGGTTATCCCTTAATGAGAAATATCTTAATAACAACAAGAGAACATGAAAGATGGATCCAATAGCTGGTACATGATGCAAAGACTAAAATTAAAAGAAATTAGTGGTAAACAAAGAGATAGCAGAAATGGTTGTTTACTGGTGTAATAGTCAAAAACTTTCCAAGTAAGGTAAAAAATATACACATAAATGAGCCCCAAATAACCACGATGAGAAAGGAACCTTTCCACAACCCATCAGAGTCAAAATCTGAGAAATCACTAATAAACTAAAATTTTAAAATAGAAATCAATCAATAATGTAATGTTGCTGAGTTTGTGTTATTTCATGTTTCAACAATTGTACCCTG